TGACAATCAGATTGCTCCTAGATCATTCCAGATACTATTCAGAAATTGCACAACGAAATCCGACGTGCCGGCTCTTTCAGCTTTGTGCACTCTCGCTGAAAAAGTCATATCTCAAGGTAGGAGGGTCCAAATCATGATCCGTTTGCACCGTCGAAAAGAAGAATAAGAGAGATACAACATATATAAAACTCGAAGCCCTACCCTTTTTGATCCGGCCACAATATGTTTTTTAATCAGGCGCCGAAATTAGGAGGATTATTTTTTTTTTTTGGGCAGCATACTTTTTTTTTCTTGCAGGTTTGGCGAGTGAAAGCTTGGTGCATCCTCGCCTTCGTAGAATTGGAGGACGAAAATTTGGCGCATCCACCTTTTCGGCCGAGGCTTTGGTGGACAACACTTTGGTGCATCCACCTTTCCGGCCGAGCTTTGGCAAACACACAGTCACTCGAGTATGTCTGTCTTTCACCGCCATGATTACGACTCGCATTCCTTCCCTGCCTTAGAAGGAGTTTCATGGCGTCCTCTTCTTTCAATTTGGCGAAGAAGTCTATGGCAAGTCCTCCATCCACATTGAAGAGTTGTGTCGCTGACACTGGTACTTGTTGCTGAGTTAAGGCTTCGTGTCATTGGCATCGATCAACTAAGCAGAACCAAAAGCTTCGTGCCATTGGCACCGGGGTTCTCCAAAATCTTTCTCTTTTGCAGATTTTCAAGAGCAGTCTTGATATCCTTAAGAAGATTCACTAGAGGTCCACATGAATGGGGATGAACCGTTCGTCTCTTTATTACAGCTTGGCGAGAGAATTTCATGGCGTGTTCCTACTTTTGCGGCTTAGAGAAGGGGACATTTGGAGCGACTCCTTTTCACCCTTGGCGAGAAAGCATGTGATGCATCCCATCCTTTGCGTCTTGGCAAGATTGACACTTGGAGTACTACTCTTTCATCCTTTGCGAGCAAGTATGGGAAGCAGCCATCCTGCAATCTTTGGCATGGAACCACATTTTCTTGCAATTTGTCGGAGAAATGCATGGAGTATCTTAACCTTCAAGCTTTTGTGCAGAACCACATCTTTTTGCAATTTGGTGAGGAAGTTTTCGAAGTATCCTAACCTTCAATCTTTGGCATAAAACCACGTCCTCTTGCAACTTGGTGAAGAAGTGCCTAGAACGTCCTTCTCATGACTTGATGAAAAGATACATGTAGTGCTCCATATTTAGAGTTATGGAGCTAGCAAAGCATCTCGTCCTTCAACCCTTATCGAAAGAAGCACATGAAGTATTTTTTTTTTCATGCGGCTTGATGAAAGCAAACATGGCGCATCATCCTTTAAGCTTTGACGTGGAGTAACTTCTTCTTTAACTTGCCAAAGAAGCGCATGGTGCATACATGGAGCTAGAATCCTCTTTGGCTATCGCGAAAAGGAATTGATTTTTTTTTTGTTGCTTAAGTGACTGAACTTAGAATGAACTCTAAGTTGCCTACGTACCCCAGCAAAGAGGATCAAGTCATTACGTAGTTCATATAAAGTATAAGTTTTTTTTTCTTTTTTTTTTTCTCTTTTTTTTATGCAGTTTATACTCGTGCGGACAAGGAGTATAGGAACTTGAAGAAATTTCTCAAATTTGAAGAGCTTTACATCTTGAAGACTTTCTCAAATTTGAAGAGTTTGCAACTTGAAGTCTTTGCTCGATTTGAAGAGCTTTGCAACTTGAAGACTTTTGCTCGAATTTGAAGAGCTTTGCGACTTGAAGTCTTGGCTCATATCTGAAGAGCTTTGCAACTTGTGGTCTTTGCTCAAATTTGAAGAGCTTTGCAACTTGAAGACTTTTGCTCGAATTTGAAGAGCTTTGCAACTTGAAGACTTTTTCTTGAATTTGTGGAGCTTTATAACTTAAAGATTTGGCTCGAATTTGAGGAACTTTGTGACATAAAGTTTAGGCTTGTGTATCAAAGAGCATTCAACATGCAGTTTAGGCTCATGCATCGAGGAGTATTTTGCAACTTGCAGTTTAGACTCATGCGTCAAGGAGTGTGGTGACTTGAAGTTTAGGCTCATGAGTCAAAGAGCGTTGAGACTTGCAGTTTAGGCTCATACGTCAAGGAGCATTGAGACTTGCAGTTTAGGATCATACGTCAAGGAGCGTAGCAACATGCATGGACTCTTCAGTTTCATCTTCGGATGAATATTTGCCCCCATTCTCAGCATCGTCTGCTTCTATTTCATCACGAGGCTCAAAGCCAGGAAACCTTTGGTCTCCACTTGTGGCCATACTCAATTCCATATCGTGAGCACGTGTGGCCAAATCTTCAAAAGTTTTAGGCTTTATTCCTTGCAAGATGTAGCGAAGTCTCCAATGCATACCTTGGATGCACATTTCGATGCCAGAAGTTTCGCTAAGACGGTCTTTGAAGTTGAGGCTTAAACTCCTCCAGCGATTGATGAATTCGATAACTGGCTCCTCCTTCCGTTGGCGGGCATTTGTAAGTTCAATCATACTCACAATGCGCCTCGTGGTATAGAAATGATTGAGGAATTTCTGCTTGAGTTGCTCCCAACTATCAATGGAACTAGGTTCAAGATCTGTGTACTAATCGAAAGCATTTCCTTTAAGAGATCGAATAAACTGCTTGACAAGGTGATCATCATAAGTTCCAGCATCATTGCATGTCTCGACGAAGTGTGCAACATGTTGCTTGGGATTCCCTTTACCGTCAAATTGTTGAAGCTTAGGGGGTTGATATCCACTTGGCATCTTCAAGTTATCAACCCTTGGTGTGTACGGCTTTGCGTATGTAAGGAAAGATTTAGGCGAAGGCTCAGTTTTATCCTTGATGGCCCCTATGATGAAGTCCTTCAATTTCTCAACATGAATCTGCCCATCAGAAGAGACTTGGAGCTCTTTGGTCATTGTTGTTAGCTTTGTAGAGGACTCTCATTTCTCTTGAATTTCTGGAAGCTTCATAGGTGCTTGGCTTGATTCTTCCTCTGTCATACTCTCTACCTTATTCATCAACTTGGAAAGTTTGTCATCTTGATCTTTCACGTACTTTGTCAGGCCTTCAACTGCTTTTATCAAATTTGCAAGTTGTTGTTCTATGGTAGAAGCTTCAATCATCATTGTTTGCATGACCACCGCATATGACGAAGAATGATATGGATCATCACTTGTATAGAGAGCAGATTGTGGAGTGACACGAGGAGAGATTAGAGCAAATTCGCTCCTCAACACATCATCATCTTTCTGTATGAAAGGATTATGGGGCCGATGATGATATTCTTTTGAAAGGCTAAATCGTGCCAAAGTTCGTTCGACCACACCTCAGCGATGTTGTTCCCTTCTTCTAGCATGTACGAAGAGGATCTCACTTCTTTTGGAGAAGATGAACCAAAAACATGAGTTATGGATGGCACATCCAGCACTTGTTGTCCTAGCATTTCAGCTTTGCTTCTTTTGATTTGGCCAACAATCTCCATGGCAACTTCCAATCCGGTTTTGGAGTCAGCATCCTCAGTAACGTTGAATTTGGGATTGACCTTCGTTATGTCCATCTTGGTGTTCTTGAACTTCGAAGAGAAGAGATGAGAGGTAGAGATGGTCCCACTGGGCGTGCCAAAATTTGTAACAACTAAATTTCGCTCCTGAAAAATAATAATCAAGACAAGAAATATAGCGACAAATATTATATTCAATTTCAAGTGATGGGGTTACAATCTCTGAAATATCTCTTAAATCTAAAGAGATGTAGTCCTCTGATTCTTCTCCTCACGGATGATAGTTCAAGAGCTTGAAAGCTTGATCTTGAACTTGACAGATTTCAGATTTGTAGTACGTCACGAACAATTTGAAGGTCGTCACGAACCAGGATTTGGTGTTAAGTTATCACGAACGGAAGATCTGAAGCCGTCCGCCTATGACTTGAGTTCGCCTTTGGAATTTGACCACAGACGACGATTGCAGATATGGATGGAGACCTTGATGTTATTCTTCAGAGCTTCTTTAGCCTTTCCTTCTGCTTACTTGCTTGTCCCTTAGCCTTCTCCTTTGACCCCTTTATATTGGTGTGGGGTGGAGTAATCTTCAAGAAAACCCTAGTGGATCATTGGGCTTGAGGCTTATGGACCGACCCATTTGATAGAAGACCAATTGACGGGCTAGCCCAATAATATATTGGACCTTTATCTAAATCAATTTAATTGGATTTAAATAACAAACTCAATTATACCAGTCCATGTTACTTAATTGGACCAATATATATTTAATTTGTGGTAAAATCCAAATTTCTTATGGATTTAAATTTGACAAAATTTTAATTGTCTACAAAGAGCTTACCACTCCACCACAATCTTGGGTTATAGAATCATCGTCGATCTCATTTGGGTTCTATTATTAATGAGGGATCTACATGGTCACTTATGGGTGCTCAAACACCTATTATCTTTGATCAGATTTAGTAAATTTATATAGGTAATTATTAAAATATTCCGATAAATATTGAGTGAGCACTCACTACTAAACTTCTTTTTTCTCTTCGTTCAGAATTTTTATGATCGAGCATCCATGACTTTAAAATCTTAGATCCGCAACTGTCTATTATCCCGCAGCAAAGCTAGAAATAGAAGAGAACTCAATTGGATCGCTTCATCCAAAAATTATATGGTACAAATAAGATAAAAATAATTAATCTTTTTGCTATATATATAAATTATTGAACCCGTAATATAAAGGATTCTCAATATCAGATTTGCACTTTTCCAAATCCCACTATTAATACGCGACTACTGATTAATAGGCTCTTATTATGTTAAAAAAGTATATATATTTCCATCACTATTGCACAACTACTAATTAGTCAGCTTTTTATGTTAAAAATATTAATTATTGCACTATCCCATTCTGAAACCAAAAAATTAAAAAATTAAAAAAAATGCAGATACAAAACGTAGTATATTAATATCAGGAGTTCAGGACGCCAACACCACACCTATTTAAGGTCGGTTAGAGTTGGCAATAATAATTCTCTCTCAGTCTCTATTTTTTCTCTCTCTCTATTTATCTCTCGAGTGGGTTTATGAGTTTTAAATTTTAATATTTTAAGTTTATTAAGTAGGATTTTTAACACAAATATAAGTTTTGGGAAGAACTATAACTTCGCCTCAGCATCAAACCCATGCTTAATTCCAGGTTTTGCTCCTTCGCCACCTTTCTTTTATTTTTATAATATTAATTCTATTGTCAATGCCTCTGTGTTAAATTTTTCTATTTAATTACTCTCCTTCTACCTTTGATTTTCTTTTGGTTTTTTTTTTTTTTTTGTGTTGGTTGATTGTGTGAATTATATGAAATTACGACGAATTCTGATGCATTAGACTTATCTTTTTGCTGTAATTAAGAAGTTTTTATGAATGAGATTGCAGTGCTGACTTATTTCTGAATTAAAAAGAATGGATTTCGTTCTCTCTTAATTACTCATTTATTATTTATTTCATGTTTGTGATTTTCTTAAGTATTAATTCAGTGATGTATCAGTCTTCTCTAGCAATGGTTAGAGGAGTCTTAAGGATATGCATGAAAAAGAAGCATATATAATAGGCACCTAATATAAGTTTAAGTTTCAGGTACAGACAATATAGAAGTATTTACTCAATCAAATTTTAGATTACTTATGAAGCAATTATGCAAATCTTTATGATAAATATTAGTAATAAATAACCTAATTAAAAATAAGAATTAAATGCTATCACATATCAAAATTCATTCAAAAATAAAAAATAATAAATTTTTACAGTATCAATGTATATAACTTAGTCCTACTTAGCTTTACCGTCTGTTTGGCCAAGCTTCTTTTTGGAACAAAAGTGCAAATATTCCAAAATTAAGGTGTTTGCCCAAGTTTTAAAAAATGTGATCTCGAGTAAAAGTAGAAGCAATTTTTGAGAAGCAAAAAAAAAGTAAGCGCTTCTGAGAAAAAATACACTTAGAAACACTTTTTAAAAGATTGGTCAAACACTAATTGTTGTTCAAAAGTTTCTTTTAAATTAATTAGTCAAACACAAACTGCTTCTTAACAAAAGTATTTATTTTAAAAGCACTTTTGAAAAAACTATTTTTCGAAGAAAAAAAAAGAAGTTGATTTTAAAAGCTTGGCCAAATAGGCTATTATAAAGTTACTTGAAATAGCTTTAATTGAGTCTTTTTTTTTTCCTAATGACTGCTCTTGCACATGAAAATCATGAGTTGTCAATATACGTACTAATTATGTTTGTTTTTTAATGTCTTCTTTGAGATTGACTTAGTATGCCGCACATGAAGAAGATTAATTTTAGTATAATAGAAATACTAAATTAATGACATCTTGCTATAAAAATGTTATGTTCGAGTTAAGTTCACTTTGTTTTGTTGTAATTAATCACATAACTTCCGGAAAAGGCAAGAATCTTTTATGATCTTGAATCTTGCTGTCAAAGTTTCATTACCATTAATTTCATTTCTTCTACAATTTTTCCCTTCTTTTGGGTGGTCCTTTTTTTTTTTTTTTTTTTTTTGAGAAAAGTCAATAAAATTTGGGACACCATTACAACTGCTGGGTAACTCTGCCCACTAAAGTTCGAGTTTGAGAGAAGAAAAGATATCGAGTTCGACCTTATAATTTTCCAATCACTTCATTAACCATTAGGCTACGTCTAGCTAGCGAGATAAGTTATAGTGATAACTATCACGAAAGACTGGACTATTAGTTCGTGGAAACTTCTTAGCTTGTGTGATTGGCTTAGGAGCGGATGCTTACCGGTTATGGGTTCATCCGAACATATAACTTTCGATATGGAGTATAAAATATATTTAAAAACCTATTGAAATCTTAACAAATATTAGATCTGAACGCGTAAACTATATAATGAGTTTAATGCTGAAAATCTCAAAAATCAAACGCATAAAATTTAAATCTTGGATTTGCCGCGCTGAATTGGCTATGTAACTTTTTCTTGTTATTGTTGGTTAACTCCTTTGTTTTTGAAGAGGCTTGGCTTTAGTGCTCTGATTGAATTAATCTTCACTCTTTTAGTTTCTTGTTGTATTTGACAGCTAAGGCATGAATTAATTGGTATTAAGTAGGTTTATCTTTTGGTTTTTTGTGAAGTTAAAAAATGTATTTGAAATAGTATTTCCTAGTAATATTGTTCATTAACAAATCTTTAATTTTCTTAAAGTAAAAATTTAGAACCATATGCACATGCCCATGTGATATTTTGAGTTGGCAATAAAGCAAAACAACGTAGTACTAGAAAAAGAAAGTTGGACTAGACTCTAGTGCGTGACATAGACAAGTATGGTCTTTATATAATTGTGAGTTATAAGTATGGACCCTCACCTTCATTATTGGTTTCCAACTCATGTTATGACTTCTACTACTGTCGCTTCTCCAAAACAGCATCCAGTATAATTCATACCTAACTCATAAATGCGATCGAATTTATGAGTTCTGGATTCTAGACAATTAAGAAGATTACATATTTGGTCGCTCGGCCAAATGTATTTATATCAGCTAGTCAATATACATACATATGTGTGTGTGTTGGTTATTTTTTTGGATGGACGGCTATATAGTGTAAAAATCCCTTCTAGCTAAAAAAGACAGTTTATTGTGATAAATTTCTTAAAAAAAAATACAAGATTTTGGTAAAAATTATGTACATTTTTTGTACCCGTAGTTAGAATTCTAGCTCCGTCTCTACTCATATTTAAATAATGACTTCCATAGCAACTTGTGGAGGGGATAGGTAGAGGCGGAGCCAAGATTTGAACCTTATGGGTTTGGGATTGTAATCATTTTAAGTTATTGGGTTCTTAATTAATAAGTTGTACATATTCAATTAATTTCTTATGACAAATGCATGATTTGAACAAAAGCTATTGTGTTCGACCGAACCCACATCTCGCACTCTGCCTTCGCCCCTGGGGATAGGGGGGTTTGGAGTTGTTGTGTATAGATGCATGTACGTATATGAATGATAAATTAAAATATTTAAATTTTCTTTGGTCCATATAGGCGGATCTATGACGAGTTCTATGAATTCAACTGAATTTGTTTTCTTACTTGAACCAAGAAAAAATTAAAATGTACACATATAATAAGATCGTCGATCACACTCATTCTGAATTTGCTGTCTTTAAATTCTAGACGTATACTATTTTTCTTCTTTTTGAGATTTTGCCATTCCATATATGAACTCACTTTTTCTTTGTCTTTCTTGTTGCTGGCTATTTCAGGATGTTTTGAGACAATCTACTAGGGTTTACAAGTAGTATCAAATTGTGCAAAAAGGAGTTACAGCTCTTTTTAAGTACAATTAATTTTATTGAGATTTAATTAGAGAAAAGAATATCAAGAAGAAGAAGAAGAAGATGGGTTTTTGGACATTATTTGAGGTGGCATCGATGCCAATATTGCAAGTACTCCTCATAAGTATTTTAGGTGCTTTAATGGCCACTGATTACCTCAAGCTTCTTCACTCTGATGCCCGAAGGTCCCTTAATAAAGTAAGAATTTTCTTTATTTTCTGAGTATTAATTTTATTTAATACTATTATTTATGATATATGGACATGCATTGGTTCTTTTATTTTTTTTTTTTGGTTTCCCACCCGGTGTCTGGTACCCGCATTGGAGTCCGACTATATCCGGATCCGCGCCGGGTAGGGCCCCATTCGGAGGGGTAGCGCTCCCTACCAAGGATTTTTCCATACCCAGGGCTTGAACTCGAGACCTCTGGTTAAGGGAGGAGCAGTCTCATCCACTGCACCACATCCTTTGGTGGTCATTGGTTCTAATTTATTCACTCTTGTGTTTGTATTTCGAGAGTTAAACGAGTTTTTCTTTAACCACGATTTTTTTCATATGCTTTTTAAACGAATTTTTCTTTAAAGATTCTATTATCAAATTTATGGTAAAAATTATGAAGTTGGTCTCTTGAAATCCGAACTATGACACATAACTTGAGACATAGACGGAGTACCTAATTTACGATATCGTCTATTTTTTAATTTTATATATTTATATATGTCTTTTTGTAGATCGTGTTCGTGGTATTTACGCCTTCTTTAATGTTTGCAAGTTTGGCAAAGACTGTCACATTGGACGACATCATCTCATGGTACGTACTAGCAAATATGAACTTTTAATTCAGTATTAATTAATATTATTCCTTTGTGGAAAAGCGTCCATAGAAAATGTAGGGAACTTCTTTAGAGAATATGGATAGTGAGAATCCATACATTTTTTTAATCATATTGACATTAAAAAAATTGCAACTTATAGTTATTGAATATCTAAATTTTAATTTTTATATACTAATTGAACTAATGCAATTTAGCTTCAAAGTTTAGTCAAATTGACTATGATAAACGAAATATGTCATCTAATCTAAATTAAAATAAAGGGAGTAACCAATTCAAACTTGCTTGAGATTAATGCATGCGGAAGGTAGCCCAATTGGTGATCATGTTTAAGACTAGTCAAAAAGCAAGGTTTGAGATTAATGCTCTAAACTTCTTAATTAATTATTGTGTGTCAGGTGGTTTATGCCCATTAATATAGGGCTAACTTTTCTAGTTGGAGGAATTCTTGGGTGGTTAGTTGTGAAAATACTGAAGCCAGAGCTACATTTAGAAGGACTCATTATTGCTACATGCTCAGCAGGTATACACAATTATCATTTTGTTAGAAACTTTTTTTATTACATCTATATTACCAAAAGTAATTGTCAAGTTATTGCCATGTGATTACGAATTTGAGCAATGGAATTAGCCACTGATGCTTGCATCAGAGTAGGCTTTATACATCACACCCCCTTGGGGTGCAGTCTTTCTCCGGAACCTGCATGATCTCGAGATGCTTTGTGCATCGGATTGCGCCTTATATATTTTACGAGTTTCTTATCTAATAATTTATTCTCTTTAAACAGGTAATTTGGGGAACCTTCTTTTGATAGTAATTCCAGCAATTTGCAAGGAGAAAGGTAGCCCATTTGGTGATCATGGAATTTGTGCCTCTGTTGGTCTGTCATATGCCTCTTTCTCCATGGCAGTAAGTTCTTATAGAGGTTTAGAGACAATTTCTTTTCTTGGATTGTTAATTTTACTAATGATCACTTTATTTTTCTCATTTTCTAACAATAAAGTCATAAAAACCATTTTTTTTTTTTATCACGTTAAAGTGACTTAACTTCGGATGGGGAGTCTTGGAGCAACGGTAAAGTTGTCTCCGTGTGACCTATAGGTCACGAGTTCGAGCCGTGGGAGTAGCTACCAATGCTTGCATTAGAGTAGGCTGTCTATATCATACCCTTGGGGTTAGGGCTGTGCATGGATCGGATCGGATCGGATTTAGCACATTTCGGATTCGGATTTCGGATTCGGATTCTAGAAAATGCCATCCGAATTATATCGGATCGGGTTGGGCTAATATGTATATTTTCGTTGTAAAAGAGGGAATACATTAAGAAAAATTCATGTTTATGCAATTATGAGTGTACAATGGTGCCAATATAACTAAATCTAGCAATTGTAAAGGTAATAACTTGGAGGAAGATGTAAAGGAAGTACTGACTATCCGAAATTAAAGTATAGTATTCATACATCGCCTATTAATTTCGGATTTCGGATCAGATCGGATTAAAATATACCAATCCGAATCCGATTCGAAATCCGAAATTTTAATAAACACAATCCGAAATCCGAAATTGAATGGATCGGTAAGGATTTCGAATATCCGATCCGAATGAACAGCCCTACTTGGGGTGCCGTTCTTCATCGGGCCCTGCATATGAACGCATGATGCTTTGTGCATCGGGCTGCCATTTTATTAAAGTGATTGAACTTCTCCACTATAAAAGTAAAGTATTTTTTGTTACATTAATTAATGTAACTAATTATGCTACATGTATTGGCCAGTTATTTTAATGTGATAAAAAAGATCTCTGTGGCTTTAATATTATAGAGGGTAATATTTGTTTACTTTAATGCGATAAGAAATAATTTTGTGATTTTACCATTATAGTAGTAAAGCTCAATGGATATTTCCTTGTATATATTCACTGCATCAAATTTAGACCAAAATCCATGAATTTATGGTCTAAAAATTAAATTCTAATTATTCTAACAATTAATTTTCTTGATTTACAGGTTGGTGGTTTCTACATTTGGACCTACACATACCATTTAATAAGAAGCTCATCTGTGAAATTTAAAGCACTTAAAGCAGCTGAGGAAGATGCTTTGAAGAAACCAAATAACGATTTAGATGCAAATGAGAAATCTCATCTTCTTGAAGATGATGTTGCTGTTAGCATTACACCAACAAATTCAACTGCATATGACCCAGAAAATCAAACTGTAAAGTTCCCTTTTTTATTTTATTTAATTTTACAACTTTAAAATACCTAAACTTTATCCACTATAACAGTAAAGTCGTTAAGCTTTACCAACAACTATAACAGTAAGGTCACAAAACTACTTTTTGTTACGTTAAAGCAATTGAATCCTCTGGGAAGATTGAATCCTTTAAGTGCAAATTAAAAATCAACTCAAGAAAGCGAAGGGGAATGGGGATAGGCTCGGAAAAGGCATTTCCCCTTAGACGACTAATATGATCCCTTGCTTATTATAACAATAGATTCACTAAATTTTAACCTCTTCAACGATAAAACCTATCCATCAAGGTGATTTTACTAGTAAAATATTGTGACTTTACTGTTATAATATGTAGAGTTAAACTATAATGTGACAAAAAATTATTTATATACTGTTATAGTGGGTGAAATTCAGTTACTTTTATGTAGCAAAATAATTTTGTGATTCTATTGTCATAGTGATTAAAGTTCAGAACATGAGCGATGGAGCAACTGTAAAGTTGCTTCTGTGTGACCTATAGGTCACGAGTTCGAGCTGTGGAAGCAGTCACAAATGCTTGTAGTAGGATAGGGTGATCCCTTGGGGTCCGGACCTTACTCGGACCCTGCGTGAACACGAGATACCTTGTGTACCGTCTGTCCTTTTTTAGTGATTAAAATTAAGTAATCGTAATGAAATTAAAAGAAATAGGCATATTTCTGATTTATCAATCAATGTAACTTGCAGAAAACATGTGAAAAAGCAGACATGGAACCAAAGAAAGAGGAAGTAACATCATGGAGTAAATTTTTGCACAAAATTGTGGAGGAGCTATTGGCACCTCCAACAGTTGCAGCAGTAAGTTCTGTTTTTTTTTGTTATACTTAATGTTTTTAATTTTCACTTGGAGTTTTCTGACAAAGATAAATAACACTCTTTTCATTTCCTATCTTGGTAAAAATCCAGATTATAGGACTTATATTTGGTTCAGTAACATGGTTGAAAAACCTGATTATTGGTAGTGCTGCTCCCCTTAGAGTTATCCAAGACTCAGTCAAATTACTTGGGTATGTTTCGATCTCCATTCTTTTATTCAAGTTGATAAAATCAAATAATTTTACTCTGGCCATATTGTGATGAAGAATTAACCTAAATAGCCGTCCACCACTAAAAATAACCGAAAAATCTATAATATATGTGTAATTCATATGTAATATATGTATAACCAGGTATAATCAGTGTATAACTTATGTATACCGGCTAAAAAAATAAATAGTAAATTGGGCCGGCTATTTGTGCAAAATCCCTAATGTGATTTACATTTTAAATAAGATTAATAGTTACTAATATTCAAACTCTTGCTTCATTAAATTCTTGTTTTATGTGAGATTGACATCTCACCTTCCTCTCAATGCAGGGATGGGACCATTCCATGTATTACTCTTATACTAGGAGGAAACCTCACCCAAGGTAAGACTGATGTCATTTCTTGTCCTGATGCTTAACTGAAAGTAAGGATATTTTTAGCTAGCAATTTTTATGAGGTAGTCATATCGTAGGAAATCTCTTAGGAGTATAGAATTTGTATAATTCTAAGAGTTTAACTTGTATACATTGACCACGCAAGCATAAAGCATTTTTACAGATTATTTTAACATGTTCTATTAAGTAACATGTCTAACCATTTATGGATGGCTATACATTACTCTTTTAGGTGATTTAACGGTATAAAAGATCCATCACACTGTCAGTGGATAGAAGTTAAAGTTCGTTAGTGTTTTAACTTGCATACACTAGGGGTGGCAATTTGAGATCCATTTGACCCTCCCAACCCGCCCAATATTGGGTCGGTCATTGACCCGCCCATTTATTGAACTCAATCCATCTTGACCCACCACATTTTAGCCCATCTAACGTTGGGCTGATTTTTAGTCCAAATTGATCAAAACGTTGCTAAAATATCTTTAAAATAATTCTTTTTTGTTTGATATGTCATATATGACCATCACAAAAGAAAGAAAATTTTTATACATAAGTAAATAGTTCATAAGAAAGTAATAGACATTAACTAAAGCTTGATAAGAGTTGGATGAGTTAGGTTATGACCTGAACTTTAGTCCATCTTGAACCAGCCCATTTCAGGCCAAGTAACTTTTGGGCGGATCATTTGACCGACCCATTTATTGACTCAGCCTGTTTTGACCCGCCCAAAATCTGCCCAACCCGCCCATTTGACACCCCTAGTACATACTAACAATATAACTAATTCTTACATTACCGATGTATTTTAACATATTCTAACATGTCTTATTTCTATGTTATTAATCCAATCTTTTATGAACAATATGATAACATAAAAATATTTTACATTGTGTTGTCCTAGTTCTCAGATCTTTCTTTTGAGACATTGAAGTTAACTTTTGCATTGCCAACTTAACAGGATTAAGGAAGGCAAAAGTGAAACCAATGATCATAATATCAGTGGTGTGTGTACGGTATATATTCAGTCCTCTAGTAGGAATTCTAGTTCTTAAAGCAGCTGGAAAACTAGGGTTCCTTGCAGCAGATCCCCTTTACAAATTTGTGCTAATGATTCAATACACATTGCCACCCGCCATGAATATCGGTACACTTCCAAATGCTCTTAGTTCGTGTAATTTAACATGTTATAGCAAGTTATCTGTCTTATTTTTGAAGTAACTGTTGAGAACAAAGAACTGATATATTATGATTATGGCGATTTACTGGTGCAGGAACAATGACACAATTATTTGATGTAGCACAAGAAGAGTGTTCAGTCCTTTTCTTGTGGACTTATTTAGTTGCAGCATTTGCACTCACCATTTGGTCCACTGTATTTATGTGGTTGTTGTCCTAATCGTCACGAGAGGACAATAACTATAATTACGTCTCAATCCCAAACAAGTTGGTGTCAAACATGATTGTCACAAGACAAAGATGAAAATAGGTCCTTTTTGTCCCCCTCTACCCCCTAGCAAAAATGGGGTCCGTTGAAGTAAATCTCCATACACATCCTACTATGGGAAAAAATTTGCGAGATATATCCTATGGAATTAGGAACTAGAAATATGACCATCCGTATAGATATAATATATATACTAGTGTGTGTGACGATTATTTTGGTCTTTTTTCCTCCTTTTTTTATTGTTAGTAATTATCATGTCTAGCTTCAATTCTTTTCAAGTAATATATGTGTCTTCCTTCAGAGGGTGGTTGGAAATATTATATAGTTATTATATTTCATGGGATTGTCCTTTGAACATTTGCTTCCTGGCCAATATATAAATTATGTAGAAGATCGAAGAAGAAAATTGTTGAAAGAAAATTTAACAAAAATCATCAGACTTGGAATCAGCAGTTTAACCCAATAATTAATATGGGTCTGACAATACTACATCCACAAAACATGTGAAAATAGCATGAGCTAGTCAGTTTTCGGACCGGTAGTTAAAAAATAGTCAGCGTTAGTAAAGTCATTGAAAAATAGCCTCTATTTTGCTGCACCACGGAAAGTTCCAGCATTATATACTGGAGATTGGTGCACCTGTATATGAACTTCAAGCATATTATGCTGGAACTCCAGCACACGGAAAGTTCCAGCATAATATACTAGAAATTGGAGCACCTGTGTATAAACTTCCATCATATTATGCTGGAACTCCAGTATATTATGCTGGAAGTTCACATGTAGAAAATTCGAACTTCAATACATTATGGTTGAATATTTTTCGAATTTTGAATAGTGTTTTCGTTCAGATTTATCTTTACATGAAAAGTGACTAAATTTCGATTACTTTTGAAACTGTGGCTATTTTTCAATTACCACTTCTAAATTTGACTATTTTTGAATTACACCCGCAAAACATTATACTACTGCTTGACAGCAAGGCCCCCTTTTCAAATAGACTGAGAAATAAAAACATCTATATATGTTAACTCTAGCAGGAATTAGTTACCACTTCAACCTCAGTGATTCTCTCAAACATCTTGAAGGAGAAAGAAGGAATTGCAATATGATGAATATATATGATCTTGCCTCAGGATGCAATAAAGGATCATGTACCGGTTTTCTGACAGTATTTTTTTACCAGTATGTACATGCATGCATTAGTTGTGATTTGTTTGAACCTTGTTTATACACTAATAACTGAACATGTCCAAGAAACTAGTGAGCGTTTAATGGGCGGGTTGGACTGATTTGGGCCGGTCAAAATGTGTTGAGTCAATAAATGGGACTTGGGCTGAGATGAGTTGGGTCAAAATGGGCTAAAGTTTGGGTCATAACCCAACCTGCCAACTCTTACCAAGCTTTAATTAATATATGTTGTTTTCTTATGAATTATATAATTACTAAATAAGACTTTTTTCTTAATCAAACAAAAAAAAATTATTTCTAAGATATTTTTGGCAAAGTTACTCATGGATCAATTTGCGCTAAAAGTTAGTCCAACTTTAAATGAGTTGAAATCGGTTGGGTCAAGATCGGCCGAATTTAATAAATGCCGGTCAATAACCATCTCAACCTTGGATGGGTTGGGCGGGTCATTTGGGCTTGGGCCATATTTGACAGCCCTACATGAAGGAAATTCGGAATGGCATGACAATTAATTCCATCAATTGGCATAAAAAAGCCTACATTTTAGTATTTGGCATATGGTAGAGCAATTCAACATAAAACTCAAGATATTTCATCGAATCATGGAATGAAGAGATTCTACTTGTCTCCTGAACTAAATTCTTGGAGAAAAAAAATTTCTTCTTGATCCCGCTTACTAGATTAAACAAAGTATTATAGTAAGAATAGATACCTTGGATACAGGTAAACTTCTCAAAGGATTCTCTATCATCTCTTCTTTTTTTGTTTCGTTTAATTGGCTTGTGACTCCGTAATCTCAAATAGAAGAGCTTATGTCAATGTTTCCCACATGCTCCACATCTCATGACAATCGCAACCGCTTCAGCTAAGGTTCAACTATCATCCTAAAAATAAGTTTCATCAAAATTATTTTCTTTTAAAAAAGCAAAAAATATTTAAATCCATCTCTCCCTCTTCTCTCATGGCAACTATCTTCCTAGAAATTAGGTTCCATTTCCCTCATAGTATCCGAAAAATATCCCAAATTTTTGTAAATTATTTCTCTCTCTCTCTCTCTCTCTCTCTCTCTCTCTCTCTCTATATATATATATATATATATATATATATATATATATATATATATATATATATATATAACATAATAATGATTATATTATTTGTATATCACCGTGTATAACATAATAATAATGTTTATATCAAAAAATACATCAAAATTTTATTTTTCTTCTCTGCATGACACATTTCAAATTGAAAACTCAAGTTTCAGGACGACTCCACCTGTGTACACCCCATTGTATCCTGTGTATATTCCCAGGTACATCAGTGATATTTCATCTATATCATGTGTATCTGTGTATATACATGAGAATCTTTGTTATATATACAATGTGATATATATAGATGTCCATAAAAACCTGTGTATGATATACACGATATACAACATGATATACACATGTGCAATTGGATTTTTAGGTATGACTTTTTACCTGAAACAAGTCTAAATTAATTCTAATCTTGCTCAAATTTTGTATACAGCCTCATCTAGGTGTTTTCAACAAATTTCAATCATATCCACTCGTTCAATCCAATAATAAATAAGAGAGAAGAAAAGCAAAGTTGAACTCTATTTTTTCCTATTTTTCTCTTAGTTTTTGCTTCTGATTTTCTTTGATGTGAGATCAACCTTAGCTTTTTATCCCGCTGATTTTTGTGCATAATTTGCAATAATTTTCGCTAAACCATGAGAGAGAAAGAGGAGATATAGAAGAAGAAATATAAGGAAAAAAAGAGAGAGAAAAATAAAAAAGATACGTAGAGAGGGGGTTATAGAGAAAGAGAATAAATAGGAAGTAAGTTTTTTGAGATTTGGCTATAAAATGCCAATATTTTTGGGACTGCCTTTGCCAACATAATTTAAGGTCAATAATATGCTCAATTTCTCTTATATGTTGATACCCGATGTCAATTTCCCCTACAAGGAACAAATGCTCTATATTCCTGGACAATTGGTACATTTTTCATCTTTTCTCTTTTTTCAATAAAATTGTCTTGTGGTGGGGGGTGGGGGGTGCCTGCGGCGGGGGGAAGGGGGTGAACCGTCTAATCTCATACAAAGGTTAGTTGAAACTTTGGAAGGTACAGGCTGAGGCCTGAGGATATGCGTAGAGAAGGCAATTGGGGCAGGGCGGGGCGGAGCGGAGCAGGGCAAGCAAGCTTCAGGGCAGGACAAAAAATTAGAAAAAGGTTAAACGGGGCAGGGCAGGCAAGCTTTGACCCACTAAGATTTTGACCCGCCCTTCCCTGCCCCGTTTAACTTTTTTTAACTTTTTGTCCTGCCCTGTTCTGCCCCGTTTGGATTTTCTTTCAATTTTTTTTCTTTATGTTTTATTTATTTAAAATTGACACGTCAGTAAAAGTATTTATTGACATGAAATATTTATTTGTATCAATTGAATAAATATGATTTTTATCAATATATTATAGTATCTATATTATATTAAAAGGAGAGTAGTGAAGCATGTGGTTAAGCCAAGTGGCAAGCTTAAAAGAAGCCACTTGGCAATTTTAAGACAACATTAAAAATTTGAATTATAAATGAAAATATAATTAATGGAAGTATTTTAATAAATCTTATACTCAATCTAAATAAATCTTAGACAAATCTAATCTATATATCTACATTTATATTTATATTTATATATATATTTGTAGCTATATCTATATTTGTATCTATATTGATCCACCAATAGATTCTTTTTCTATATTAGCTAGAAATATGGAGGTAAAAAATTAACTAAAAATTATAATAGAAAAAATATAAAAATATATAAGACTTAGATTGAGATAACCTGTAACTATTTATACTTTGGTGTAAGTTAAAATCTATATTATATTAAAAGGAGAGTAGTGAAGCATCTATATCTATATTATATTAAAAGGAGAGTAGTGAAGCATGTGGTTAAGCCAAGTGGCAAGCTTAAAAGAAGCCACTTGGCAATTTTAAGACAACATTAAAAATTTGAATTATAAATGGAAACATAATTAATGGAAGTAGTTTAATAAATCTTATACTCAATCTAAATAAATCTTAGACAAATCTAATCTATATATCTACATTTAAATTTATATTTATATGTATATTTGTAGCTATATCTATATTTGTATCTATATTGATCCACCAATAGATTCTTTTTCTATATTAGCTAGAAATATGGAGGTAAAAAATTAACTAAAAATTATAATAGAAAAAATATAAAAATATATAAGACTTAGATTGAGATAACCTGCAACTATTTATACTTTGGTGTAAGTTAAAATTAAATTAAAAGTTACTTAAGATATTAAAGATTTATTAAGTTTAAAAATTAAATAAATTCAAGCGGCTAAATAAGATCTTACATAAAGTATATAAATTATTTACAAGGTAAGAAAAACTTAAATAAATAGTAAAAAATATTCTAATTACAAGAATAATAATGTCATATTAATATTGATAAATCGGGCAAACGAATATTATATACGTAAATATTACAACAACATTCAGATATAATGGGTTCAAGCAAATAAGAAAATATTTTTTTGTGATTAATATTTGAATTGAATGCAATTAGTTTAAGTTTGAAAGCATAACATAATTTTTTGAAAATGCAATCAAATTTAGAAAATAGAATAATAAAACTCATTTGAATTTGATAAAGTTTTTAAATTTTTATCTATATTATA